TCGTTGATTGTGATCATGCAAGGAAGTTATGAGATAAAGCAATTGAACCCAAAAATAAACAATCGCCTAAGATTTTTTTGTGAAAAAGATTAAGTTCATTGATCGTAGAAGAAATCATTTGTGGAGACCAACATTAGAGATACAACTTGGGCGGACCAACTAGAATTCAACCCAGGAAAAATAAGGCTTGGGTTGAGCCTTGGCCAAAACACACAAACCCCAATTGAATTTTGGCAGAACACGAGTTGAGACCTCGGGGATATCGGGTTCAACCCAAGTATATATATTGGGCACATCCCAAATTCCAAATCGGGTTTAACCCAAATATATAAATCAAACTCAACTCGAACATATTTAAAAATAAATATATAAATTAATATACAATATAACTTACAAGTTAGAACACTGAGGATCAATCCTCTGATTCAGTCTTATATTAAATATTTGACTATTATGTTTTTATGTTAAACATTGATTTTTATGCTTTAAATACTATGGTCTTTTTGTTAAACTTTTGATTGAAGTTGTTGGTTATTACTTTAGGTGAATACTATGTAGTAAGTGATATGTATCAGGTTTAGAACAACGTGCTGATTTTGGATTTAAATGAATCCAACTTGAATTCTAGCCCAGAATTAACTCAAATTATGTAACTTGAATTCAACCCAAAATTTACCTGAATTACATAACCCGAATTCAACCCGATCCTGCCCAAATTATACTTGAGTAATACTCTTGTTGGGTACTTGGGGTTAAGATCGAATTAGAATAAAAGTTAAAAATTATTTACTTAAGATTGAATTAAAATTAACTATTTAACCCGCCCGAGTTACACCCGTAAGCAACACATATATACAAGTTATCATCAAGTGGTGGTAGTGCAGCAATCCTAAATCATTCTCATGCGATTTGGGGACTAATAAACCTTACGTTCGAAACCTATATAACCAAAATCACAGTGAATTATTATTTGATGGTCACTTAGATTTTGCATTGGATTCTCGGCATTACTCCAACTATACATCAACTTACGCCACGGCACGCATTATTGTCTGTTTCTGCGCAAGTTACAATTAGGACAACTTTCACTTGGAAGAGAAGATTTTAGTACATTAGGAAAACCACCTATTGTGGTACATTTTTGTCTCCACCGTTAATAAACTATTGAGAGAATATTGATTAGGTTAATCATCATCAAGAACATGATCTATCATTCCTTTTCTTTTCGGTGAAGGGTCCCCTAAAGTTTCTTTATCCACGTACTCGTTTCATACACGGAGGGTTTGGGTTGGTGTGGATTTCTATCCTTTTGTCTGTCTATCTTTTGGTTGATTTCTCTAATTACAAGCCAAACTTTTTCATTCCTTATTAACAATTGAAAATTCAATGATTATTTCTCAACAACCCAAAATTCATTCAGTTTCTTTGCATAATATTTGCTAAATTTTTTTAATGATTTTCCCTAGTTGATTGCATAGAACTCACAAGACAACCGAGGGTGCTAGCAAAGCAACCCTAGATCATTCTTGTGCGATTGTGTTACTCTAAAATCTTACATTTAAATCCTAGAATGAGAATCACAATGAGAAATATCCAATTTTAACTCGGTCTTCTCTCTATCATAATTTTCACCAAAAAGCAATGTGTGTGTGTGTATTGTAGGAGATTTTGTCTCAACCATAAATCTATTTAATATTACAATTAAGAAGTTGAATTCTGAACTTATAAAAACACAACAATAATTAAAATTGATTTAATTTTATTCCAAGGTAAAAAATTCATAACCAAAATATTTTTCTCGCTAAAAAACATAATTTTTTCTGCACGGGTCACAATGCTAGAAAACTCAACTTACACACTCGATCTTATTAATACATACTTGCCTCTTTCTTCTCTCCTCTCTCTCTCTCTCTCTCTCTCTCTATATATGTTCGTTTTAATTTTAAATTACATATTAATTAATGTTAAATTTTTATTATTATAGAATATCTTTAAAAATAAAATTATTGCTATAAACCAAAAAGAGAGGATTAGCTTTATCATCATCCAGAAAATGAAATGATCCTTTTCTTTTCAGTGAAGTAAGAACACCTTTACATCAGCAAAAACAATTAAAAAATAAAGTAAGAATAACTTAGAAAAGCCTTCATTATCCACGTACACGTTTCCATACACGGGAGGAGGGGGTTTTAGGACACGAAAGCCATGGTGGGTCCTCCTATATATGTATTGTACCTCTCGAAGCCTCTAGAAAGATAGGCTTTTTTATAGCTTTGCCTCCACCTTTGACTTATAGCCAACTACAAGAGATCCAATTCAAAACTGCCTTGGCTTGGCCCCCACCTTGTATCACTTGGCAGGTAGTTGTGCAAAGGCGACTGCTGCTATGCTTCTAGATTGTATTTCTAAAAAAATTACGGTACATAAAAAATATGTTGTATAAATTTTGGGGTTAAAATACGAGTTTTTATCTTTGTTTACAACACAATTTTTTGGGTGATTTTACAACTTTTATGGTTAAATTATAAATTTTTTAGGATTATTTGTAACTTCTAATTAAGTCTTCTTTCGAAAACAATAAAATTTTTCGAATTCGTGATCATGTTTGGTATAATAAATGTTATATTAGTTGTTAACTATTTAATGCAATTTTCCTCTTTTATAACACTCAAAAGAATGTACGGGTGAAGTTATTCTACGCATTTTCTATCGAGCAATACAGAACGAGAGGCTACACAGGTGCACCCCGCTGCTGCAACGGGCGTCCTCGCCGATCGACCTCAACAGTCGCAGAACTACCGTATCAGCAGGCTGCTGGTAAGCCTCAACAGTCGAAGTCCCCAACCATCCTCTACAATCCTCAAGTCACTTGAATAGGAGTGTGTCAATTTAAAGTTAAAAAAATAGCATATTCTGTCTTATTTAACGGAGCCTGCATACCTTTCGTGGTTTCACTTCTTCCCAAAACATCAGTTAAATTGCCAATGATTCTCCCGCAAAGAATTTAGAGTAAACTTGGGTACAATTTGAGTTGGTCAATTCGATTTTAACTGGAGTCAAATTCAAAAAAATTAAAGTTTGGACAAGGGTTTTAAATACTTAAGTTGCGCTTGGGTCAAAAAATTTTAACCGAATTCAATTTGAGTTGAGCTTGGGTTAAGGCTTCGGGTTCACGGATTCAACCCGAATCCGACAAATTAAAAAAAAATGATATATATAAAACATTAGCATTGATTTTTAATTTTTATTCTATCATTCTCTATTTCTCTCGTTCATTTTCATTTTTGTTCTAGTATTAGCACCATTAAAAACTTTGATTGAAGTTATTGCTTGTTATGTAAAATATGTACTAGGTTTAGAACAACAAACTTATTTTGGGCTCTACCCGAACTCAACCTGTAAAGTAGCCCGAAATCATTAATCCAAATTCAACCCGAACCCGCCCGAATTAAACTCGGACAGTGTTCGGGTTGAGTTTCTCAACCCGAAGTAGGGTTAGGGTTAAGGTTAGGGTTGAAAATTATATACCTAGGATTGAGTTAAAATTGAGTGTCTAACCCGCCCGAATTGCACCTCTAAGTACACTACACATGCCCTTAAACTACAACTTTTTGTCATTTAAGTCCTTGAATTTTTTTTTTATATCAATTGAGCACCCGAACTTGTTAATTGTAGCAATTCATCCCTTTTGTCTACATCTGTCAGATTTTCTTCTAACAAAGAGTGACTGAATGTGTCACTCACGTGATTAGACTATAAATTATTTGTGTCACATCAGTGACACATTTCGTAACTTTTCGTTAGAAAATTCAACGTATACAACAAAAAATAACTCAATTGTTACAATTAGCGAGTTCAATGACTCTATTGACAAAAAAAAAAGTTCAGGGTTATAAAATGGTCCTACTCTCTTCAATGCCTCGGAGACAAATTCAAAAGCTCTCACTTTTCTTTTTTTTTTAATAACTTTGTTATCATTTAATACTAGAGAGGATGCTGTGACTTGGTCTCTCCAATTATTGATTATAATTTTCCCAATTTAATGTTGAATGGTTAATCATTGTCTATGGCGTCCACTGCAAGGTCTCTCACCTTCTTGAGTAATTAAACCATTCCTCGTGCAATTGGGAGCTGTCTCTATTGAACGTATATAGTCTCATTAATAATTGTCAGCCGTTATGCATTTACTCACAGTAGGTGAAGCAATTTGAAGTCCAGGTCACTGTTATGTGGGTCGATTTGACATGTGGTACGGATGAACACAGTGATATAATTTTGCCAATGTACAGTGTTATAAAAGTAGACTAAATTAGTATTTTATTTGGGTCATGATCCGCTTTGTAATTCTTATTAAAGTCGATTTTGGGAGTCACAGGTTCAACTTTGGGAGTTAGCCTCGGCTAACAAGGCTACCTCCCAACAGAACCTAACAAACCTAACATTTTCTGAACTCCGCCATAAACGGAGCCTTGTGTACTGGCTGTGTAATATACTGATACCGATATGCACATTGTTTGTTGATATGAAAATTCTTTTAAATCAACAAATAAACACCCAACTATATCAAAAAATCTTAACAAGATCTATCAACCCGATATGGAATTATCAGGTACAACTTTGGCCCAATAGCTATGTTGACCCTTCAGATCAGCTTAAAGGGATTTGCACTAACCAATTTGAATGGCCAACTACCATTTCGGGCATGGTTCAACATGCAGATGCATTTATATGTCTGATGTTGGTAATTCAGACAAGTCAAACTGGGAAATTCGTGAACAATATGACTTCTTTCTCAATCTATACCAATACAAGGCTCGACAGGTTGAGGTGATTTTAAAGTTTTGTAAATATAAACCATGTCGGGAGTGTGCGTACCTGTCATCGACCACAGTTTGCAGGTGGTGTCCATGGGAGAACCCTTGTTGCTAAATATGGCATCAGTCAAGGAATCAGGTCCTTGCTATCACACACGCAACAACAATGACAAAAAGAAAAAACTGTCGGTCAGTCCTATTCTACACTGCATCACTGGCAATCCAACATACATCTTGCTTTACATAAAAAACTATTAATTGCATTAACCAAGGCGTAATAATCTTACGGTCAAAGTGCTCTTTTGAACGAACAATGTATTACAGTTAACCTTGCTTAGCAATGTATGAAAAAGTTCTTAACACTGCTCCTAAAAAAAACCTTGCAGTATGGTGTGTCTGCCAGAATTCTTGCCATAGTCGGACAAAAATTTAGCATAATATACCTCAGATATCTTACATAATAGGTAGGGAGATCACAATGGTAGTTCACCACAGTCTGAAATGACAACTTTGCCTTTTGGTGTTCCGCTCTCTCTCCCTTCACGTTCAATTTTGTGGACAACGTCCATCCCAGAAATTACTTTGCCAAACACAACATGATGCCCATCCAACCTAGAAAAGAAAACCAATTGTATATAAATCCAAAAGACTTCAAAATGTAGGACTGAAGCATGACACCCTTAGAACAGGGAACAACAGCTTTACACAACAAAAATGGTTTGTTAAAGCCACAGAACAAATTGATGACATCAAAGCACAAGGTATAATTCTTAAGTTCCTCTGCAAAGCTTTGATATCTATACTGTAACCTGATTCATGACCATACTATGTGTTCAGTCAAGTCAGTGTTTTGGATGAGGTATTCTTTGGGCTTGAGGCCAACTCCATGACCCAGCTGTCTATCTAATAGCGTTGATTTTGGTCAACAGCTTTGCAAACTACCTTGAGCTCTGAAACTAAGCCCAGAAATCTCCAAGAAGAATGCTAACTTGGTAGTATCATGTTGGATTTGTAAGAATAGCACGACATGATCAATTACCAGCTAGTAGTTACGGTCGTGATGAAGAATTGTGATCCATTGGTGTCAGGGCCAGCATTTGCCATTGAGAGAAATCCTGTTTTCAAAAAAAGAAATCAAAACCAATCAATGGAGCTTCCTTATTGCGTGCTTTACAAGTTGCAGATCGCCAAGTTCAATTCAGATCTAGTTACAGGCAACTTCGTGTGCAGTGGATCTTGCAAAGAAGAAAAAAATTAAGCGCTTAAGAGATGGTCTAAGGCTCTAAGCTTACCAGGACCTGTGTGCTTCAGGTCAAAGTTTTCGTCAGCAAACTTATCACCATAAATTGACTCTCCACCCCGCCCATCAGCACGAGTAAAATCACCTCCCTGAATCATGAAGCTGGGAATGATCCTATGGAAAATGCTCCCTTTGTAATGGAGAGGCTTCCCACTTTTTCCAACTCCTTTCTCCCCTGCAATAAGGGATTACTACATACCACACAGGAAATCTAAATTGATGGTTTGATTAGAAGCATTTTGATGTAAAAGTCACATCTTATTTCTCTCCTAGAACATATGAAATAAGTTGCTTCCATTCACAATACATGAAGTAAATTGTTCCTATATTATTACATGTTTAACTACTATCCAATTTATGCATATATTTATGAATCCTCGCAGAATTTTTGTGACAATACTCTCATTGTATGGAATTTAATCCAGAACGAAGGTAAGTGAGTTCAGGGAAAATAACAGATAAACAAATATTGAGAAGGGAGATAAAGTTACTTGGCTACCAGTGCAAAGAGCTCTGAAGTTTTCTGCACAATAAACACATACAGTTAGTAAATAGGTTGTTCTCATAGTAACAAATTGAGTGGATACACCCAGATGAGAAAACATTCTTTGCAGCACCAAGGTAGTATACCTGCAGTCTTGGGAACTGTTTTGCCAAAGAGGCCCATGACAATCCGACCTGAAAGCACACAGGAAACCAACCAGTGATCTCATTTGAAGAACCATTATTGCTTATAACAACATACAATTAGCTATGCGTTCCATTATTACCTGCTGGATTAGAAGTAGTTTTTTCTTCCCCCGAGAGAAAGGGGAGGGGGGTGTTCAGGTTCTGAGCTTGATTAATGATTCCAAGTTTTGGTTAACAAAAGACCATTTTTTTTTTCATGGCAGACTCGATGCACTCACCTATTTTTCATAGGTTTTGAATTGGACCTTATTCAGCTAATTTGTGATATAAAAGATTTTTTTTGTTTGCGAGTTTACTCTGATGGTTTTGTATCATACCACACCATTACTTATGGCGATGAATCCATGCTTGGTTCTGAACCTGTCTGCCTTATTAGATGGTTTGCTTTTGCAAGCAAAATTAAGCACAGTGGATATATCAAATGCAATCAGGAAAGAACGAACAAACAATAAAAACATCAATGCCGATCACATTCAATTCCTGCCAAGAAGATTATAGTTTAACTCCTTATTTGCAAAAATGATCAGCGGAACGGTCAACTCTGATGAAATAAACAAAAACATACCAATGGGTTTTCCACCAATCTCGATATCAAAGTAAACTTTGTGAGTGACTCCTTCTAAATCTTCCTCCGATTTTGAGGTTTTAACCTACAAGAACATCAAATGCATAAATAGCTTACCAAGTTTTGCCATTTGCTACTCCTACTCGCTAATCAATTAGAAAACAATAAAAACTCGTAAATTTCCATCAAGATGAGCGGATTGAAATCTATAAAAAAAAATTCAAATAAAAACAAGCTAGTGTACAAGGTGAACTCCACTCAGATTATCGTTCAGGTTATGTCTAAGCTTCTCTTACCTGTTCGTCGTGCTCAGTATCGGTAACTTTATGATCAGATGAGACTTTGGGTTCGCTTAATCGATTCTGAATAAAAAATTAATAACTAAAACCATAAAAAACTTAAAGTAAACAAAAATCAGTAGAATGCGATTAAAATCGAAAATCGAAAATCGAGAATACCAGAATGAGGACTAGGGTTCCGAATAGAACCAGAACCCAGATTAATACCACCGGAAACAACTTGGTTCTGGTGGCCATCTCTCAAGTCTCCGGCTTCTGAACCTGAGAGTCCTCTCCAAATCTCAACTACCAACGCCGATTGTGTTCTCTTCAGGAGTCTGAGCATTCATGTCTAGTAAAGCCCAGCGATAAGAAAGAATGTGAAATGGGGGTCCATTTCAGGAGTTGGCTAAATTCTCCCATGGCCCATTTTTTAGGCCCGATAAAGGGATAATTATTCTTTTGACTACGAAATTTTTACTAGCAGTAGTATTGTTCCCCCTTAAATTTAAACAATTTCTCAAAGGGTCTTTTGCCAACAAATTATATCAAGAATTTCGAAGCTATGATGAATGTGAATGGAACTGGAGTGGAACCAAAGTATGTGGCAGAACTATATTATCAATATTCTATTACTGTGGTATTGAAGGGGTTGGAGATTAAACTAGTGAGAATTCTAACTATCTTTGCAACCATTGATCTATTGAGCAATAAATTTGAAGGAGTGATTCCATATACCATTGGGAATCTCAATTCACTCCGAGTGCTCAACTTATCCCATAACAATCTTGTTGGACAAATCCCGTCTTTATTGGGAAATTTATCGGTGCTTGAATCACTAGATTTGTCCTCCAACCAACTTGTGGGAGAGATTCCTCGTCAACTTACAGATCTAACATTCCTTGCAATCTTAAATCTCTCGTATAATCATCTTGTAGGACATATTCCTCAAGGCAGGCAATTTGATACCTTTCAAAATGATTCGTACGTAGGGAACTTGGGATTATGTGGATTTTCATTGTCGAAAAACGGTGGAGATGACAAGGCACCGCAACCATCCCCATCAGTAATGCTACAAGAAGATGATTCAGATTTTTTAACTGGATTTATTTGGAAATCCATGTTGGTTGTGGAACAATATTTGGATTGATTGTGGGATATCTCATGTTCTTAATTCAAAAACCGAAGTGGCTTATAGGAATTGTTGAAAGACAACTACAGAGCAAAATGAAAAGGTGGAAGAGGGGGAACAGACACAAAGGAAGAAGAAATAAGGGATTTCTTAGACAAGTTGTGCTTCAGTTTTTTACTTGTTACTTTGTATTATATTTCCTTAATGGATTATTGCACAAGCTTTGACCTTCTTGTTTTCCTTCTTTCTTGATATTATGTTGGTATTTGTGTTAGTGTTCTATTAGTTGGTATTGGAGCAGTTGATGTGATCATTTTTTTGTGATTCTGTGGGTTCAATGGAGGATCTCCACACCTCAATCACTGAAGCATAATTAGTTCCATGGACTACTTTTTATAAAGTGTAATCATCTTTTTCTACTTCTGTTGAAAGAATCGGCAATAACAAATGGAAGGATAGTTGCATTGAAAATGGCAAATGGTGGGCCTCAAATATCAGATTTCTGGGAGTTTGAAGATGGCAAGATGGAAAAATCAAGGGAAACAAATTGAGTTAAAACTTGTCTTCCTATTTGACTCAGGACTTCAGTGTTGCTATTCTGCAGTTTGTTCTAATTGTCCATAATTGAACAGCTCTGCATGGTTTGGTATTTTGATTCTTTAAGGTTTTTCCGGCAATGCTACATGCATCGCTAGCCCGGGGGAAGGGGGAGGGGGGTTAAGGTTTTTATACTGCAAAGACATGAGGAAGATGTGCCATTTCTGTTATTTATTTTCCCTTAAGAAATATCCTCTTTCTTTTTCTTTAAGGACAATTCTGATGTTAAGGGCAGATATAAGAGAAAATTTTGCTCTTTATGTTTTTCAATTTCGTATTCTCTTAATTAGATCTCTTAGCTCATGTTTGCCTTGATGGCAAATTAGGTGCACTATGCCTTTTTATTACATTCTGTTTTGTTTTTCGTTTTCCTTTATAATTTTTGTGATTTAATCTTTTCTAAATTAGGTTGGTTGACTGCTCTCTTTGATGCTTCTGTATTCTTCCATGGCCATTGAAATTTTTAATGGCTACCTTAACGGAGTCCGGCGATAGGAGCTCAGTGTTATGTGCGCACAAATTTTAGGGGTTCAAGTGTAATATGTTAAATGTGAGAGCTCTTGATGATTAAGTGATAAATTTTAGAAAATTTGAGTGTAATTTACCTAAATATTACTAGTTTGATCAAGCAAATTGGCTTAATGAATAGGTAAATAAGAATTCGACTATATACAATACGAGTCCAACTATACCAGATTTATGATCTGGATGATATAACTATAGATGAGTGAGATTTGAGTTGGATAAATTTTTATATGATTTGATTTAAGTGAAAATTGAAAGTGAGTCCCCCTAGATGTATTTGTTTGGAGATAAGTCCTGTAAGAAAACTTATAAGGGGCTAAGTCCATGTTTAAAATTATATGTAATAACTTAAGTCCACTTTTTTTTTATCTCAAAAGTACTCTTCTTTGAAAGGAATTTAATCTTTTGTCTCTCATATCTATCTATATCCATATGCAGATTAAGAGTTTAATTAACATTAAAATTCAAATTCATGTTACTATTTTTTTTTATTTTGTTACTGTTCATGTACTATTATTTTTCAGCATGTTAGTGTTTTTGTTGACCATGTTACTAATATTATTTTCCTAAATATTAATATTCAATGTTACTATTTTTTTTTTTTAAATATTATTATTTTTTGTATTTGAATGATACTATTTTTTGTGTTTGAATTAGAGAGAAATAATTATTGTTAAGTATGTTACAGTTTTTGTTAAACATGTTACTACTATGTTTGTTAAACATGTTACTGTTGTTATTTTTTAAAAATATTAATATTGAATGTTTCAATTTTTTTTAATGTTTAAATGTTACTATTTTTTGTGTTTAAATGTATTATTTTTTGTGTTCAAATGATAATTTTTTTTATATTTGAATGTTACTATTTTTTATTTTTAATGTTGTTATGTATATACATATACATATATATAACCTATATATAGATAGATGAGAGAGAGAAAATTTTAATGTTAGTCAAACTCTTAACCTATATATGAATATATATAGATATGAGAGAGAAAAATTTTTAATGTTAGTCAAATTCCTAAGATTTAAGAGTTTTTAATTTTTAGTTTTATTTTACTTCTACAGGGAAGGGATAATATGGTAAAATTGCCAAAAAAAAATTTCATAATAAATAAGTTTCCTTGACAGACTTAAGTCCAAATAAGTCTATATATTAGTTTTATATTTGTAGTTGTGTGTAGTCAGTTTTTTGTTAATTTATTATTTTTTTGTTATATAATTTCTAAATTTATGTTGACTATTCTCTCGAGCTCGGATATTAGTCACTGTAGCTCAAGTGGCAAGAACAATAGTGGATGACTCGTAAAAGATATGAAAAATATTGAATCTGAAATTTCTGAATTATCGGACGTTAAACTAATCACCCCTAAGTATTTTTAATTCATTTATTATACATAATAATTCTCAACTTTGGATAACGTTGACATTCAAATATTTGGATTCGTCAACCATTTATTAAACAAGTACTAACCTGATTATTATATAAATTTATTATACCTAATAATTCCCAGCTTCGGATAACGTTGACATTCAAAGATTTGGATTAGTCAGCAGTCAGAAACTAGATACCAACATTAAAAAGCTTTAAATTGCATTGGGAGGAGATAAAAAAAAAAAAAAAACAAAGAAATTTAGTCACACCTTTTTTAATTTATTATATCTTCTGGAATATCCTCTTATTTTTTAAGTTTTCATTTAACACCCCTCTCAGAATAAAGAATTTAATTAAAATATAATTATACTAAATAGTTCATGATATATTTTTAAAAAACCTCTATTTACACTGTCTCTAGATAAAATATATTTTCAATGAGACCTCTTCTATTTTATGAATTTTTTTATGTATTAAAATTCGAGTCGATTAAAAATTATGGATATTGATTTAATTAGAATATAAAATATTTAATTGGCTCGAATCAAATTTTAATCAACTCGCTTTGAATTTTATTTGACCAAATTTTAATTTTTTTTACCAAATTATAATTAGCACAAATTTTAATAAATAAAAATATATAGATTTTAATTGAATAGAATCGAATCGAATTTTAATTAGCGTTAACGGTTTAAGTTGAGGTCAAATTGGTTTGAATTTTAATATGTAAAAAAAATTATTTTTAATTAATTCAAATTAAATTTTAATTGACTCAAATTTTAATATGTAGAAAAATTAGTTTTAATCAATTTGAATTTTAATATATAAAAAATAAATTTTAATGACTCAAATTTTATGTATAAATATTATTTGTGGTTTATGTAGGGATAATTTTGATATTTTAAATGAATTTTTTTTTTGTTAAAAATAATATTTAATGGCAAGAGGTATCAATGGTGATTTAGATAATACGAGCGGTATTTTTAAAGATACAATAAACTAAGAGCGTAACTGAAATTTTTTCAAAAAAATTTTGCACTGGGCCCCACCAAGCCAGTGGTAGCTGGTACCACCGAAATCATTGAACGAAGTGGGCCCTTCCTGCCCAGCTCATCATCAAGGTTGCCTAACTGAAATTTTCCCAAAATAATTTCATTAGGCCCCACCAAGCCAGTGGTGGGATGGTACCACCGAAATCATTGAATGAAGTGGGCCGTTCTGCCCGGCTCATCAAGAACTTGATTCCGTCTTGATTGTCAACGGCTGTAGTGAATTGGACTACGATAGAGGTGACAGTGCCGACCCAGCTTGGGGGCCGCTAAGGCCGTTGTTAAAAAAATTGAGATAATGGGATGGAATTATTTTTTTAAAAATTTATTTGATTTTAAGTATCACTTCTAAATTTTTTTTTTTAAGTTTTCTTTTTCATCAAATAGTTGTCAATAACTATATATTTTTAAATTCTTTCTAAAATATATTTCATAATTACCTCTATCATAAATAATGCATACCTACTTGAATATGAGACTTTCAAAATTCCTTTTGATATTTGTGTATCATTTGAATTTTAAAATTATATATATATATACACACACACATATATATACACACACATACACACACGTAATACAGTGACATAAAACAGTGACACGCACAACAAAAAAACAGTAACATCAAACAGTGACACGTTCAACAAAAATATTTGTGTTACTGTTTGATGTTACTATTTTTTTGTTGAGTGTGT